TTAAAAAATAAAATAGAAGAGCGAGAGGCTTATTGTAACAAGAGTAAATTGTAAACAGGCATAATATTGTCATATTATGCATCCCACGCAGTAAATAGAACTGTGCAAGTGCGTCATTTTGGCAGATTATATAAAATTGAGCTATCAAAAAATATTATTTTCATAAAAAACATAAAATATCTTATCAGCAAATATGATTTTGCAATAGTTCCTTAATAAACAAAATCACAATAGACCCGTAAAATAGGCCTACTGGGGAAACCACGTAAAAAACGAGCTAAGCACAGGTTTAAACGTACTTTTCAAAGTGATATCTTTATAACGGTTGGCTCTGAGCAAAAAAAGTAGTGATGCATTTTTTGCAGATAATTTTATGTTCAACAATATTGTCTCAGATAATTTTGCAATTTAGTTAAATATTGCAAAAGGGTCATTTTTTGACCTTTGACCTTACGCCATTTTTTTGGCTCGCATTGGAACTATGAGGACTTTTGAGTTTTTTTTATAATTGTATTTTAAACAATTTGCCAAGTTACAGCCCATTATGAATTATAGTAACCTCACCTTGATTTTAGGTTTAAATTTTCCGGACTATTATGATAAGAATTTCTGTTATAAGAGACACTATATATTGTATTTTGATCAAATATATTTTACGTTGATTTATGAGAAAAATACTTACTCTAGAAACATTTTCAAAACAAGCAAAATATAAATTATCAGAGGCTTTATTGTCGATCATTGTCGTTACTACTTAACCCGGTAGATGTTACAACTAGCCCCAAACACGAATTAAGTTATACCAACGCAATTGTTTTGTCCCTTTTTTTTGGAGGTGAATGGTTACAGGATCTAACCATTTTTATTTCGTATACTAGAGCTCCCATATAAAACTATTTTTTTTCAATAAACTTATGTGATTAATTAAGATTAATTCGAAAAAAATTCCCATCTTTGAGATCATATTTGAAAGAAATTTTGATTTTATCAACTTTAGAGATCAATCAAACAAATGAAGTCTATACAAAATGAACTTTTAAATGTGTAAATATCTGACTTTATTTTTGAAAGCGTTTTCCGATCGTGTTGGCAGAGAAACATTGCGGGATTGAATCGGTTGTTCGAGTAATTTGAAAAGCTGCTGGCTAATCAATCTTCGTGTGCCAAACGTTAGCGCCGGAGACTAATTGTTCCAGATTTCAATCGATCATTGACGACGCGATGCGGGAGAGGATAAAGTGTTTGAAAACTAACGAGCGGTTTATTCATGATTCGGAGCTAATTACTTTTTTATTGCTCAAATGCTCTCTTACTGAGAAATCAGTCAATCAATAACGTAATACGTCATTATAAAAAACATCCAATAAACTATGTAAAATTATATAAATTATATTTATATTATAAGTGATTACCGCCACGTTATAATTCAATTTCATGATTAGATTTATATTATATATATATATATATATATATATATATATTATATATTAGGGTGGTCCTTAAAATGGTCATTTTCGAATTTTCTTGCTCCCAGGGGCTCAAATGGTTCCAAATAGATAAAAAACAATTCTCTGAAGTTTTAGCTCTTAATATAACGTTTAGATAGAGCGCAATTCAATCAAAGTTTGTATGGAAATACATGAAAAAATTTCAAAAATTTAAAATGTTTTTAGATGTAATTTACGAACAAATGAATAAATAAAACTCATTCATTTGTCACTAAGTTATCCTAAACATTTTTTTTTAATTCAAAAATTTTTCCATGCTCTCCCATACAAACTTTGATGAATTGCGCTCATCTAAACGTTAAATTAAGAGCTAAAACTTTCAGAGAATCGTTTTTTATCTATTGGAACCATTTGAGCCCCTGGAGCAAGAAAATTCGAAAATGACCATTTTAAGGACCACCCTAATATATATATATATATAATTATATATATAGGGAGAGCGGGGCTTATAGATCCGCGAGTAAACAGGTACACCACCGATATCTCGAAAACAAATAAAGTTAAGAATTTCTAACAACAATATTTGATAGTAGCGAGGAAAAAGATGTATACCAGCCATCACCGTGATTCTTACGACGTTTCTATCGGCAGAAAAAAGCATTGTTGAAAAATCGATAACAATAGTATTTTCTTTCGTTGTTAGTATTTCTCGGTGTGAGCGCTGTTGTTTAGTTTGCAAATATAATTTTTAAGTACAAGTTATTTAATTGTCTCATAAGTTGCATTGTTAATTTTAAGGTAAATTCAACAGTTTCTCTTATATAACATCTAAGTAATAAAGACCAACTAAACATTTACGCTGGCGAAGTTGCAAAAATACAAAATAGTGATTAAAAAACTGAATTAAGTTAGAAAAGCAATTTTACAAGAGACAAATTAAATTAATAACTATTTTTCTCAACAAATCGGCTGATGAATATTTCTGACGAAATTCCAGATCAAGGTTACTTACAGTGTTATCTCTATAAAAACTGAACCCATAAAATTTTGCATTAGTCGTTTAATGTAGCTATTATTTTGTGTAATCTATTTATAATTAAAATAAAACATTGGACCTGTTCACCTTCTGATTGTCCTAATCTACTCCGCATATCGGATAAAAAGGACCAGATATAGCTGGGATTTCTACTGACCATAGTCAGAAAGCTGTTTGTTTGATATGTGTTGTATGTTTTGATATAATTGGTTTCATAATATAATTGCTCAAAATCAAATTGGACCTTTGTGCCCCGCCTTACCTTATATATATATGTATATATATATATATGTATGTATAGGTATATATATATATAATTATAATAAGTTGTTGTAGAACTATGAAATTTTCCACGTGACAACACAATTGCAAGTAAAATTACACATGTGCATATCATATTATTCGAAACAACATTTCGAATTCCAAATGTTATCTATGCAAAAAAAACATATAAACCTGTGTATGAATAATTAAACAAGTAAAATAGTTTTAGTCATTTTCCGTAATATTGATGAAAACATTTCATAATTATCGAATAAAATGCAAACACATTTTTTATAATTTCAGGAAAGTGCATGCTATTTTGAAATTTTAGTAATTGAGATAAACGGATAATATTTACAATATAGAAAAAACACTAATAAAAAACAATTATGAACGAACATCTACGCGGAAGATGTTAAATTGCTTGTGGCGATGAAGATTAGAATTAATTTTGTATCAGTATTTGTGATATAAAACTCGGAATATGAACAGATTATATAAATATATATATATATATATATATATATATATATATATGATATTTGTTATCCCAGGGAATAAGTGATTAAGTCAATTTTCAAAATTTCACAAGGCTTGGTTTCAAAGTTCGCTCATGTAAAATTGCGTTTGGGAACGTGCAAATTTTATATCAAGTAATTCATTATTTTTTATTTTTCACAGATAATTTTCAAATAAAACTATTTAGAGAAATAGTTAACAAAGCAATAGTTACATCTTTGACGAATTCGACTTAATCCATTCCTTCACCGGTAACAGATATCTGTATATAAGCCTCAAAAAGCTGTTTCGATAGAAACAGTACTCCTTATATATATAAATCCTCTAAAATAATGAAATATATTTTGAGAAAATAAATTTGAGTTGTACAAAAAAATGGTTTGTCACGTGAGTCGACCAAGAGTTTTAGCACATAAATTGCAACTTATTTTGTTTGTATGATTTGTTATTTTTTATGACGATTTTTTCATTTGAGCCTCTCCTGCCGGTCATCTTGGCTACGTACATGATAATTATTTATGTATACATACATTATATGTATATACACATTTTTTTACATAAAATCACATATTGACTAGTTTAGTAAAAACCACATTCTTATTAGTAATGACGGTAAATCCAAGAAAATAAACAAAAAATTTCTCAATATTTTGGTACATATAAAAGACGTACATGAAAATATTCATATGAATGAAAATGACAAAAAAATTAATATTATTTAAGTGATTCATTTGTTTACCTGAGTCACTGGGTTTTCTCCTGGTCTATAGACCACATTATGTAATGGCCTTTTTCTTCCGACATAGTTGACGCAGACGAACTCCAGCAGAGAAGCGTAAATGAAACACATGCAAACCCCATCCCAGACGTTCATTGCGGTTAGGTTGCTCACCACTGGCAGTGTGCTTCGGAAGCCGTTCGAAGTTGTGAAGAAATTCAACATTGTTGTTACGCCTGATTTGATATTTTGGAATATATAAATATGTTCATTAGTTTATTGTAGATATATTTCGATAAATATAAGCCATGAATTAATTTAATTAGCTTATGAAGAAAATTGAATTGAAAACAAAATCGTAAATGTAATAAAAATTGTCCTTCAAGTATCATTATCAATTTAAACTACGAGTAAGTATTTGGTATGTATCACGATAAAAAAAAATATATTGTAGAACTAAATCGCTCAGATTTTTGCACAATTTATTTACCCTACAACAAAAAATTCATGAAAGAGATAAATGGTAACTTAAAACTTGTCTAAACCTTTAAAAAAAAATTAAAATAATTTTTATGCAAGGCTGCAAAGCAAACTTGGTTTAGCAAATTTCTTCTGCAAAAAAAATGAATAAAAAATTGACTATACATTAATATAAACATGAATCTTGCTATAACAGTAAACATACAACGTACTACTTAACGTCATAGTACCAAGACGACTATTGCAAGCATGTGCTTAAAACCTACTTTCTAGAATCTCAACTACTACAGTGACTATACTATCTACGTGGACTCGCTAGTATTGTGCTATTTTATTATTATCTATACTCATATTAAAATAAGAACAACATTATATACATATATAATATTATGCTCAAATAACAAAACCTACATCAATAACAATATTTCACCATATACTCAAAAACATAAATGACGACTCGAAACATATAAAAAGTTCAATACTTAGTACGATACATGACTTTGCTATTAATTTTTGAAACGAATTGCAAAAAAAGAAATATTTCACAAAAGAGCGAACATAAAACAAAAATCATCAAACAAACCAAATAAAATTTTAATGTGAAAACTCCGTGACAACACACACAAATGTAAGGAACAAAGAAATTTCACAATAATATTAACTCCAATGAGTCACAAAATCGGTCATATAAATAACTGCAACTTCATCAATTTAAGAGCATATAAATTTAAATCATCCAAATCGCTAATATATCCACATAATCGCTATATTTATCAAACGTAGATAAATTGACTGAAATCTACTTGAACAACTTTCAAGAACTTTGATATATTTATTCTCGAAATAGCATCAAAGGTATTTGAAGAGCAATGTAGAAGAAATAAATAAAATTATGAAACCAATAAAATATTCACATTTTTCAATTTTGATTTTAAAATAAACTAATAATTTTCAAAAAATACCATAAAACAATGATCAAAATTTTCATCAATATTATTTGTAACCAATTTATTTTAAATTGATTTTGACGCAATTAACACTTACAATTGGGCAATTTTCATAAATTTTTTAATATTGTTGTATTATTATTTTATTACATTTTTTATTATTGTTGTAAAAAACATAAAAATAAATCAAAATGAATGTCCAATTTTAGATCACATATATTTTTTTTTATTAATATACATAATCAATTTGATATATCATTTTATTGAAAGAACATGAAACAGGTCCAGAAAAAAAAGTTAACTATATTGAGTGTGAGGTATATTTTATCCAATTTAGTTTTTACCGTTGACCACGAATCGAAAGCCAGAATTGAGGGTCGAATGGCAAAAAATTAAAAAAAAACGATAAAATTAATTTTTGTCGTTTTCTAGCACTTTTTACCTTAATATCTTAGTATTCATTTAAGTGATCTATTAAGCATTTTTGTAGAATACAATATGAAATATTCATACCAAAAATGATTGCAGATTATCCAGAGAAATGGGGAATAAATATGTTTGCAAATTTATGATATATTCTACAAAAAAACACAATGAATCATTCAAGTCAATAATTAATAGTAAATTCAAGATAAAAAGGCCACACAACGAAAGAAGTTATAAGATTTTAAGTGTCATGCAGAAAAATGACTAGATCGGAGATTTTGTCGTTTTTTCAATTTTTTGCCATAGCATCCCTAATTTTGACGATTCGTTGTTCGGTAAAAACCATATTAGAAATTTGCCGCACACCCTATATAGACAACTTTTTTATTGTAGATCTATGAAATTACAGCAAAAAAAATTATTTACAAACACTTTTATTCTTATAGTTTTTTTTTAAACGGAGTCAAAAACATTATGTATCGCCGTTTAAAACTTTTTCCATAATAATAAACATAGTATAGCAATTATAAGCAAACTATTTCTTCAAACGGCAAATTTACCAATATTAATTAACATGTATATCAGTAGAATGATTTTTTTGATAAAAATATACTATTGATAAACATATCTTATAAATGAGTTGATCTATGTTGGTATCATCATGAACATTCTAAATTTTACACACAATATCAGAAAACACCTATGTCAATGTAAGAATTTTGAATTTGAACGCGTTCGTGCTGAAGATAAAGATTAAGTTGCAGTTATATACAGACTCGTTTTAAAATTAAGTACAAAAATGAAATTAACAAAAATTAATTTAAAAACCATACCTATCATAACGCGTGCAGGCACAGCATTCCATTCCAACCAGAATGTTATGAACGAAGAAGTAACCAGAATGATTCCTGGTATAAAAACCGTCGTAAAATAAAATGATCGGTCCCTCGTGAAACGCAAGTCGACCTTGAGGCAACTGTAGTTGCCTATTGTTTTTTATTGAAATGAAAAAGAAAGAAAAACAAAATAAAAACCCAAAATCATAACTCAGAAAAGTCGCTGCGTACAAGGCTATATAATATAAAATATAGCCCCGCTCGTATACATTTTGCGATTTACGCAATTCATTAATTATGTATTAAAATAAGTGTGGGTACGTGTAGGTCACTTAACCTAATAGAACATCACACAGAAATATGACTGCTTCTTCAACCATATAAATCTAGTAAGTTATAATAATCTATATTTATAATATTTATTGCAGTACTTTTCCGATGACGTATCTATTGGGTTAAATGTTAATCAGTTACATACTGCAGGCAACATACTCCTCAGGCACTACTTATTATATTATATGGGTGTCAAAATTTAAGGCATATTATCCGATATAAATGTCGATGATTATGTCATTTTTGTCAAATATCGCAATTTTATTTCCATTGCAGCAATTTGTCAACTGCCGATGACATATTTAAAATTGGATCTATTCATGAACAACTGCAACTCTATGCTGTTAATGTAAAATGATTTATCGCGCGCTTTACAATACTAAAATGTGGTGACGCAGTAACATTTATAATTACAAAAATAACATCATCAAAATGTTTTATTATCTTCCGCATTTTTGACATATTGCATATTTACAATGCACGCTGTATATAATTATTCTCTGGAGTAAAAAACCCAAATCTGTTTATTGTTTCAACGCCGTAAAATATTGAAAACTAGTGCAAAATTTAAATATTCGAAAGAAAACATTTTTGCATTTTTCATTTGAAATTTTTGCTCTTATCATAAATATGCCTTATACAAATAATTCACGATTACCTAAAGTTGTATCACGATCTTGAAAAATTGATTTCAGATTTCATGTTTATTCAAGTACAAAATATTCGAATATTTTAAATAATAATAATAATAATTGGCAAAAAACAAACGAAATGATTTATGCCACTCATAGACCCCAGTTATAAGAAAATTGTAAAAAAAATATAAAAATTGTCATAATCCTACTCGACTAGCAATTCAGTTTTATCTTCTTTATGCGAATTAATCGCCATTAAAAATTTATGAGCGGCGTATTAATTTCAAATTTAAATTTTAAATGTTATTAACGTAAACGCATCATTCAAATTCAATGCTTCTTTCAAAAGATTCAAAGAAAAAAATATATATCTCCAAAGAATAATTACGATATAGCAACAACAGCGAATTAATTGTATCTCAATAAATTTAATTATATTTACTTTTTTTTCAATGCAATATAAAAATAATATGATATGCGGAAGATCATAAAGCAAGACACTATCGAGCATTAGCAAGCAAAAATATGTACTCATACCACATTCCTAAAGAAAAATATATATTATCAATAGGAAGATCATATGTAAGTCTCCAAAAAGAACACTCTACAAGGCTTTAAGGAGCTGAGGGTGTATTAACTTTACAGATGCATTATACAGTAGATTACAAAAATCCAGCAAACGCCACAATGTCTTTAGACCATATACTGTTATATATACCAATACAGCATTTCACAAGAGTGGAAAATTCTCTTTAATTTCACAAATTATATTACTTTTAAATCTCTGCGCAATCCCTTTGAAGTGACTTTATATTATCTCAATGATATCGTATATCAAACGATTTCTGTTTCTCAGACTTCTGCGAGATTAAAAAATGATTAGGCACAAAAAGCGAGATATCGATTTTACAAAAGAAAAAAATTAAAAGCTTAATGACTAATTATAGAATAATGTCTTTAGTGATAATAATTAAATAATATAGGGTCACATAATACAGGGTCACACGGTGCGTAAATTATTGGCACGGTTTGAAATAAAATTTATAAAATAAAATCAGGAACAGTTAGTAGTCATTTAGGACCTTCGAATCATGAGTTAAACAAAGCACAGACTGTGTACAATAATCACTTAATCCTACCGTTTTTAGTGCCGTTAGCTTGATTTATGTTATCTACTGTATATAAATATATATAAAATCTACAAAAACGTTCGCGAGCTATAAAAAAATCAATAATTGTAAATGTAATTCTCTCTGCTGCACCTATCATCGACCGCGCCGGCACCGCATTCCATTCCAGCCAGAATGTGATGAATGAACTGGTTACCAGGATTATTCCTGGTATGAAGACTGTCGTGAAATAGAAGGCCCGGTCTCGAGTGAAGATCAGGTCGACTTTCAGGCAGCTGTAGTTACCTGAACGATGCCAGGTACACCAAAGGGGTAATGGATTTGATTTATAAATGACATACTATTTATATTAATTATGAAAAATTATTTGTTCATGCTAAATGTATACTTATAAGACTATTGTCGACACATTAATAAATAAATTTATCACGGATATATGAGAATTAACTAATCTCGAAAATGTTATGGCTATGTTATTAGTAAAATCTTTGTGGATATTTGGTATACTGATCTTTTCTTTTGCTAAACGATATAGCTTTCATTGCTCAAGACATAATTATGCAAATATTAAAAATAAATTATGACTAATTTCAATAATAATGAATTTTATTTTTTATATATTATTTTATATGATAAATATGAAATTCATCGCAATGTATGAAAATTCACTGAAATTTAGAAAAATAAGGCCAAACATTTGTTACGGTCAAGGTAATTGTTAAGAGAACAAGTACTATTTAATAAAGTATAACTTTGATTTGCCTAGTTTGATAAAATAAAATAGTCTATTTTATTAATTTCAGCATCTTTTTCTTCTACTAACTCCATATGTTAGAATAGAGCAATGCAACTAAAAGTGTATAGAAGAATCATTTGTGTACTTTGATTATTATAATAATGCTAATAGGGTAGTTAAAGGATCACGTATAAAAAGCTTCATCATTATCTTAAAAACTAGAACTATCTCAGTGTAACGGTGTAATATTGATGATTACACAGGTCCACAAAAAAGGTATCTATATCGGGTGTACGAATGTTTTCGAATGTAGTTTTGACCGTTGAAAACGAATCTAAAGTTAAAATTGAGGGCTAAACACGAAGAAAAATAAGGACTCGACAAAGTCTCAAATTAAAATCTTGAAATATCTGTCGTTTTCTGACCTAATTAACGTGAAGTGACTAATAAGTTTCATTTAAATGATCTATTATTGTGTTTTTTATATATTTTCAATAGTAATTTTGCATAACTACTTCCCATTGCTTCTGGCTGATTTGCAAACATATTTGCAATAAAATATCTGAGAACATGTTTGCAAATTTCGGCTGTATAACTCAAAAAAAATCAATAGATCATTTAAATAACACTGAATAGTCAATCAATTAGAGATTTTAATTATCATGCATAACAATTACTAGATTGGAGATTTTGTCGTTTTTTTAAATTTTTCTTGACTTTTTGTTTGACCCCCAATTTTTCAGCGGTAAAAATTACATTGGAAAATATATGTCACATACCTAAAAACATTTTTTGTGAACCTGTGTTACGTTTAATTCATATTACTTATAAATTTCAGGGATATATTTAGAACAATATAGTTGTAACAAAGTACAGTTATATCTTTTTTTTTTAATTTTACCGTAACAATCTTGGTTTTTAGATCATTATACTAATTATAGAATATATTTTAATTTATTAAAATTTATTTATGTATGTATATATATATATATATATATATATATATATATATATATATAAATTAGAGATGGGTAACTCCGGAGTTATCACTCCGATACAACTCCTCCCTCGGAGTGAATCCGAGTGGAGTTGTCTCACAGGATTTGTCATATCCGACTTCCCTAAACTGATACTAAATCTAATAACATGTGAAGATATTTGCTTGAGATTTTTTTTACTAATACAAAGATTTGGATCGAAAAAAGTGGTCTTTTTCTCGTCTCACAGCCAGTTTTAGGACTTTTCAAGTATATGTCTCAAAATAATGCTATTTTGTATTCTAGATTTTGTATACGATAATGTTTGTTCGTAAATAAGCTCTTTCAATAGTATACAACCAGCTAAAAAATATTTAGTATTATATTATAACTTTTACACAATTATAATTTTATAATTGTGTTAAAGTAATAGTATGCTAATCAAACTACCAGATGTATAATTAATTCTCGAAAAGAAAATAATGAAAGAATGTGAGGTATTACTATTTTGTGAAAAATATTATACACAAAGATTTGGTTTTATTTCATATATAAGGTTCACTGCATTATTTTCATATAAAAATAAACATATTCAAAGAATTCTATATTTTCTCTTCAAAAATAATTACAAAATTGATTTTGATTCCCAAGTTTTTTGTTAATTTGAGATTTGTATGCATATTGAAATGCATAAAATAGTAATTATTATAATAAAATGAACAAAAATGTTTGAACTATTTGTAAACTATTTCTAAAGTCTTAATAAATCCTTAGATATGTTAACAATCAACTTAACGTGGAGTTGTTAAGTGGATATAACTCCTCTCTGAAGCGGAATCAAATCCTAACCGATCCGTCTTCGGATATGATAAGCCCATCTCTAATATATATATATATATATATATATATATATATATATATATATATTATTTACTGCTAACAGGTTTAGCAAGACTTATTTACCATGATATGTAATATTATTTGTCTATGTATTAACCTGCATATTAATTTCAAGCTAAAAACTGATATTTGTATTGAATATTTTAAAGGCTATGAAAATATAACGTAAAAATGCAAATTTCGTAATTATTAAATTCATATAGCAAACATGGTATTTCCGCGCAATATTTTCCAGATCACTCGTGGAGCGTCAGTTCTATGCAGAGCATCGTCATTCTATTCCGTGATATATATTCATTTTTTTTTTTGAATTTTTGTTGTGGTATTTAAGCACCGCATCGCTTTTCCAATCCTGTGCTCTCTCATACGTTGCAAAAGCATTCTGTGCAATGTACGTTGTATTTTCATTTAAAAATATTCACGAAGAGATATATTTGCA